CAGCTTGCCGGTCTCGCTCATCAGCGGGGGTATGCTTTCTTTAACCATCCTTTTCCAGCTGATATACCTGTAGAAACCCTTCTTATTATTCTTTGCATCCCTAGCCAAGTTTAGCTCCAGCTGCGCCTTGGCCTTCCTGACCCCATTCCTACACAACCGGACCACGTCCCTGTACTCTTCCCAGGATGCCTGTCCCTGCTTCCACTGCCTGTGCAGTTCCCTCTTCCTCCTTAGTTTGGCAAGCATCTCTTGTCTCAACCACGCCGGTCTCTTCCCTTCTTTGCCTGATTTCTTACACCTAGGGATCGAGAGCTCTTGCGCTCTGTGGATCACATCCTTAAAGATCTGCCAGCTCTGTTCTGTTCCCCTGTCCCTGAGGACCGTTTCCCAGGGAGTCAAATAACCAAATAGAGTTAAAACAAGTGCTATCTTGTGTATTGTAGACATATGGGCTGACTCTTGCTGCTTCCTGGGAAGCTGCCTGGAAAAAAGCAACAGTATCTGTAGTAAATTTCAGTCTTATTAAGAGAGAAGGCAAGAGATGTAAAAATTACTGTTACAGTAACTATGATTTATCTCAAAAGATAAACGCTTCTTAAACTGCTAGAAGGCTGATTTTTCTCACAAAAAATGCCTGGAGGTTATCAGACCTCAGAGGTGCTCTGGTTAGCTGTTCTCCTGGGCACTCAGCGAGGACTGAGGCAAGGAGTTCTCCTCAGACCTGTAGCAGTTGAGAGTATAACCAGGTGCAGCCTGGCTGCCCCCCCAGACGCGCGTGAAGACAGGGCTGAATTCACCCATTAGCTCAGAGCACTGGACTGCTAAAACATATCACTGCATGCAGGTGAGCAGAAACATGGTAATTACAAGCATGGTAAAAATCATTCTGCGAATACCACAGGGACCGAAGAAAGCAAATCCCCCAAGCTCCTAGCAGCATACCCCACTCTGCAGTGTCAAAGCCTAGACATAGGGGCCGAGGGAGAACCAGCCTGAGCTGAGATGGATGCCCAGCAGGCCGGTGGAAGCGGCTGGAGAGGGGGGAGCAAGGGCCGCGGCGCAGAGCCGGACCGGAGCGGAAGGCCCGCAGCGGCAAGCCCCAGGGGGAGCAGCGGGCCCGGTCAGGGACTCAGGAAGCGCCCAGAAACGGGTGCTGAGGAGAGGGGACCAGGGGGTCAGGGCAAGACACGGGGAAGGCCCGGAGAGG